GAGGCGCACAGCTGCAGCGGGTCCCCTCACCGCGCGCACGGCCGAGCATGGCGGCGGCCCGGCCGGCTCTCCGCGGCCCTGGCCACCGCCTCGGAGGCAGGCTTGAGAGCAACAGGTTAAGCTGGCGAGACGTCAGTGCGCCCCCTCCTTCTCTCCCCCGGCTCCTCCCCGCCTCCCGCCGGCGCCCCCTCCCTCCGCGCCCCGCGTCTCCCGGTTCCCCTACGCTCCCGGCCGCGTTCTGTTGTCATTGTGACGTCACAAAGGGACGGGCCCGGGTGGAACCTTCCCCGCCCCCTCCTCCTCCGTGACGTCAAAAGTCGGGCGGGAGGTTCCAGGCGCGTCGGGCCGCGAGGGAAGGAGGGAGGGAGCGGAGGCGGGGGCTGCGGAGGAGCTGGGCGGCGGCGCGCTGCGACCGCGACTGCCGCGTGGGAGGAGGAAGAGGATGCGCTGTGCCTCTGCCTTCCGCCCCGCAACGCTGCGCTTCCCACCAGGTGAGCGCTGGGAGCCTTGCGTCCCAAAGCGAGTGGCCCCCGGGCCTTCTCTGATGACATTTAGGAGGTGGGGAGCACAGGGGAAACGCCTCCTTTCTGCAGAAACGTTTTGGCTTCCTCCGTTCCAGGTCTCTTGGCGGTGTGGCATTACTGCTGTGGCAGTCGTGTGCCCTCACCAACGCTTTTCAGAGGAAGGAAACTTCATTCAGGGAAAGCTTTGCTTTGTTGGGGGACGGATTCGGCCACCTTGTCACGAAGTCGTGTTTGGGGTGTCCTTGCAGGATGTGGTGGGGGATGTTCAGTGTGACACAACGGGAGCTACCTGTCAGTTGTTGCACTTCTCTGGAAGCCTGTGGAGGAGGGCGCTCCTTCTTCGCTGGGCCAGATCTGTGTCTAGTAGTGCAGTTTTTTGTGAGGCCAGACTGAGGGAAGAGTTGTCATGGATGCTTCGGTTTGGAAGTCCCCTGAACTCTTTTTAAGTCTCCAGGTGTTCTGGTCCTAGCTCATGTTCTGAACGTATGACCTAGTGAGAGAGGCTCACCTTACTTGTCTTTGCCACTTCACCAAATCATTGAGAAGATGAGTAAGATAACGTGAGTGGAAGATGTGAAGCACTGTCTTCATTATATATAGGGTGGTATTGTTACTTGAGCTCGTGGAAAGCATCACATTTCCTACAGTTGGTCTCAAAAGCCTTCGGTGCGTGCGGATTTGCTGTTTAGTTGTATTGCTTAGCAAAGCAGAGTTTGGGGTTTAAGATTGTAGATTGTAGACTTTGGGAGAAATGATCGTTATATTTCATATTAAACGACAACCTTGAGAAACTCATAAATTGCAGCGTAATGCTGTCTTAATTGTGCTGGGCACAACTCCCACTATAATACCTTAAATAATTGAAAACATTTGCCTTTCAGAGTCCGAGTTCACTGGGACAGTGAAAACAGTTGCATGTTTTGCTCTAGGGGAACTTTCTGCCATTTCCATCACTCCACTGCTTGTTTATTGCTAGGGAGAATGTCAGCCATGGTATCTAGGCTTCAAAATCATTTGATATTTGATGCTTTATAGCAGATACGAGTTTAGGGGGAAAAAAAGAAAAGACATCTCTGCCACAAGAAGATACGGTTCATGCAGTTGATTCACGCAGTTAACACAAAAACAAATTACCAGTTTGATGTCCAGGACAGCTCAAGCAGAATTTGTACCACTGTAAGTTTTAAGTATCTAATTTTGTGATTTAAAAGTACAGTATGATTAAAAAACTGGAAAAAGTTGCATTATAAGATTCAAAAGCAGGATTTACTGTAATTGTAATTACATAAAATCGTAAAGGGAAAAAAGAGTAGAAAGAACTACACTCGAATGGAGTAGATAGATTTATGAGCCGCTCTCTTTCCCCTCCCCTCCCATTTTACACAAACTCTTCAGTCTGGTTATTTTACGGTTCTAGGGGGAAAACACAGTACCAGTTATTTAATTGCTTTGTTTTTCTCTTCCTTGGCGGTTGATCTGTTCACACGGCTTTCTTTGTGCTTACCTTTCTCCTTGTCACAGAAGTCTAGGACAGAAGCTGTACAGCAACTGTCCCTGTGAAGAGCACAGAAGGAATGCTATTGAGAGGCCAGAGGGCATCATTAAAATTTAAAAGGAAAAATAGATTGGGTCTGAAAATAATCCAACCTTGGTTGTTACTACCTGTCTTTACTCTAGGCTAATATTTGCTCTCTGTGTCCCCATAGCCATGGGCCTGAAAAGCCAAATAGAATTATTTGGTACTTAGGAAGTATGTATAATGGTTGTTTTTCCTTTCCTAGTAGGTGAAACCAGTCCCTGTTGCTGGACTAAGGGCTGTTGACCCACTTGCAAGTACCTTGGAAACAACTCCAGTGTGAATATATACCCTGCCCCAAAGGTTATTTAAACTCTTTGAAAAGAGAAAATCATTTCTTCTTTTCAGAGAAGACGTCGAAGTCATATTAAGCCGAGTACATTAAACATTTTGTAAATGCTAGAGTGGAGTATTTTTCATCTAGTGGTTTGATGTTCTGAGGACCCAGACTCCTGGCCTGTTTATCTCCATGGTTAAAAGCTCTGCAGTCTGAAAGAAATTTAGTTTTGGAATTCAGCTTGTATTTTAATCCTCCCAAGACTCTTTCAGGATACGATCAAGTTCTCCTAACCATCTACCTAACCAACCCACCAGCCCTGTTGACTGCTGAAAACCCAGCATGAAGCCAGGCCAGCGTGCAGCTCTGGGATGTGTTTCTGCTCTTGTTGGCTCCCACCTGTAAAAGCTCTTTTGCTTGCCAAGTGTTAGTTATGTGTTCCCAAATCTGGTTATTCCAGTTGGACTTATTGTAATTAGAGTTAAGTATTGCGTGAACCATTGAATGAGTGTGAAATATGTTTTCTATGAAAGATTTAAGTTGAACGTTTTGGGGAAGACTTGATAAAAACGAATTTCTAAAAAATAAGGCTGTTAAATTAGACGTGGGCCAGACATTTAAAAGGTTTGGAGGAAATCTGTAAGGATTCGGTACACGCATTGCTTTGCTTGATTCCCTTTTAAGAACCAAACTTCAATTATGTTCAAGTCCCCTCCTGAATAAACAAACAAAAAAAGCCTAATGAGGAACACCAGAACTCATTGACTGGATGGCGGGGGGCAGAAAGATTTCATACCTCACTCATGGAGTTGAGAAGCTGGTAGCTTGTAATCCAGCAGCTTTA